ATATTACAAGTGTGAGACTTTGAATCCTCCTCCTCCCACCTCTACTCCTTGCAATTGGTTTTTTTGAACTGCTGTTGAAACCAGGCCATTCAACCCCTCTGCAATGATTAGAAATAGGAAAGGGGATAGCGGATCCCCTTGCCTTAAGCCCCGTGATACTGAGAATTGACTTGTTGGGCTTCCATTAACCAGGACTGAAACCAGACTAGTTCTTAGACACTCTTGTATCCAATTTCTCCATTTTGCACAAAAACCCATCCTCTGCATCATATAATCTAGGAAATCCCAGCACACCTTATCGTAGGCCTTTTCAAAGTCTATCTTGAACAAGAAGGCCTTTTTCTTCTTCTCTTTTGCTTCCTCTGCCACCTCATTTGCAATTAATACTCCATCCATTAGCTGCCTTCCCCTTAAGAAAGCCATCTACTGCTCGCCAATTACCGTATCCAGAACCTTTTTGAGGCAGTTGGCTAATATCTTTGCAAGAATTTTATACACCACTCCAATGAGGGATATAGGTCTATACTCCTCAATCTTTTGGGGATTATCAACCTTCGGTACTAGGGCAATGAAAGAGGTATTTAACCCCTTCACCAACTTGCTTTTTTCTTGGAATTCTTGAAGGAATTGAATCACATCTTCCTTGATAACCTCCCACTGATCTTTGACAAACTTGAAATTGAAACCGTCTAGACCTAGTGCTTTTGAGCTGTCACAGTCCCTTATAGCTTCTTTGATCTCCTCTTCAGAAGAAGGAGCAATTAATGTTTCATTGTCATCCTGAGAGATTTGCTGGAAAACCACCCCATCTAGTCTAGGTCTTTCTTGCTTTTCTTCCTTGTATAACTGTTCAAAAAAGGAGGAAATCTCCTCTTTCATTTGTCTCGCTTCCACAATCTGGGCTCCATTTACTTGAACACTATTTATCTCGTTCCTCCTCCATCTCCCTTTGACACAGTTATGGAAAAATCTTGTGTTGGCATCGCCCAGCATCAGCCATGTTTTCCTTGATTTTTGTTGCAGCATGCTTTCTCTATGCTTGATGGAATCCCACAGAACTAAGAAGGCTTCCCTTCTTTTTTTGATTTCCTTTTCCAAGAGTTGGACCGCTTTGTAATCCCAGCTTGCTACCCAAGAGGGGGGGTGAATTAGGTCTTGTCAATTTAAACTTAAAAACTTGTTTCTTTTTCTTTCAAGACTTAAATCAAAGCTGCAATTTATGAGCTATTGTGCAGAATAAACAAGAGTAGTATAGTGCAAAAAAATAAAAGAGAGGGAAGAGAAAATCAAGCCGTGATTTATAGTGGTTCCTCCAATCCGTAGTACGTCCACTCCCCAAGCCTCCTTGCTCGAGAGTTCAATCCACTAGAAATCTCTTGCTTACGGGTGCAAGATTAAACCGGAACAAACTCTTGCTTGCGGGTGCAAGATTAAACCTTCACAAGTGAATCTCAACTCACTCAACCCCTTCAAGGATTAACCCAATCCAAGAAGAATACAAAACCCTTGTAAGACAATATACCCAAAAGCTCACAAGAAGAAAAGAAGAAGGAAAACCAGAACAATTTCAAACTTAGTTCTCTGTAGCAGTTCGTCCCTCTTCTCTATATTCTCCAGATCTGATTTTTTGGTGTTTTAATAATTGGTTGGGAGCCTTGCCATTAATTGCCCATTTAGTCCTTTAACGCCACTTCACAAATGCTCCAATGAGATTTCACCTATTTTACTATTTTTGACTTGACTTTGGAAAGGCCAGACAATTGGTTCCCCAAGGCCCAAAATAAAAATAAAAATAAACGGATAGTTGAGCTGTAAAAATTTACCCATCCAGAATTTTTGCTTCGAAGCCAGAAATAAAGGTTCGAACCATTTTCGGAAAACAAAAGTTCGGGATTGATTCGAACCAAAATAAATTGGTTCGAACCCAGAACTCTGAACAAGGAGAACATGCGTTAATTCTAATCGTGAGGAAAGATTAGAAATCTTGGATTAATTTTCCTACACACTTAGCACAAAAATAGATTAAACTTTTTTGACTCATGGTTTTAAATCATCATCAAAATACAAAGAGAACCTAACACGCTTCTCCTTTCAGATCAATCTAGGCGATTTCTGTAGTGGCATTATTTATTTTGTGATCAATCTCAGGAACAAATTCCTTGCTCCATTTTCTTAGGGCCTCCTTGGTCATCTTCAGCTTTTCTTTTATTCTGTATCCCGCCCAGCCTTGAATATCTGCCTTACTCCAAGTCTCTTTAATCAGCTCTCTGCAACCTTCTTGCTCTATCCAAGAATCAAAGAATTTGAATGGTTTAGGCCCCCAATCAACTACTTGTTGTTTCAGCAAAATTGGACAGTGGTCGGATACTATCCTATTAAGCCCCCACTGCTTGGCATCACCCCATTTAGTCAACCATCCTTCCGATAGCAGGAACTTGTCAATTCTGCTCATAGATTGGCCACTAGCCTGTACCCATGTAAATTTTCTCCCTACTAACGGTAAATCAACCAATTCCACATCTCTGATGAAGCTATCAAACTCCCTCATTTCCGCTGATATTTCTCTACTCCCTCCTCTTTCCCCCACTTTCCTTACAGCGTTGAAATCACCCATAATACACCAATTCCCACCTCTCCCTACTACTAGAGCTTTTAGCTCCTCCCATAGAATTCTCTTTTTCCCCAGTTGACATGGGGAGTAGACATTAATAATACTAGTTGGAAACTGTTCAACACCCCAGACCCCTTCAACTCCTATGAAGTTCGTCCCCTCCAAGATTCTACCCATTTTAAATTTTTTAGAATTCCAAATACACAGCATTCCTCTAGACAAACCCTCTGCATCCCTGGCAACCCATTCTAAATCATCTGATCCCCATGTCATTCTACAAGTACTTCTATCTATCCCTTCCATCTTAGTTTCCTGTATTGCTAAAAAATCCACTTTTTCTTTATTTATTAATTCCTTCAAGTGTCTTTTCTTCCCGACACCTCCTAGCCCTCTAATATTATAAGACATCAAATTCATGGGGCAAAAACACTAACCTTCTTATGCTTGTTCCCTCCCTTGGAGCCTTCCGCTTCTTTTTCTTTTCTGCTCTTTTCTCCATCTCCTCTAAATCCCGAATTACACCTACCTCATCCTCTGCAACCACCCCAATTCTTTTTGCAAAATTCCATAGATCTTCTGCTGTTTTCCTGCTTTGTTCCTCTTTTAAGATTCGGTTGCAATTCTCAATCCCGCTATCCCCAACTGAGTCTCCCGCCACTGAGTCCCTTCCATTTGACAAAAATTCTGGAAAACCCACTTTTCCTGGCTTGCTCTCCTTGGATCTCCCTCTACCCTTGTTGTTCCGAATCATCACCCCTGACAGCTGTGCTTTGAGATACACCGAGCGGCATGACTTTGTCCTCTTCTTTCTGTTCTTGTTAACTAGGACCTGGACAGGGATCCCTTCTGGCTCTTCGAAAAATCCTGCCTCTGCCCCTTTCAATCCCTTCTGCTTTTGGATCTGCAGCTGCGCTTCTTCATGTTTGTGCTCCAACTGAACCGGATCCCCCTCTTTCTCTATCGAGATTACCTCCTTAGCCCCCTTCGATCCCTTCTTCTTCAAGATCTGCAGCTGCACTTCCTCTTTTACGTGCTCCACCTGAGCAGAAATCCCCACTTCATGTGCTTGCTTTGAGATCTGCAGCTGCATTCCTTCATCTTCACACACCCGCTGAGCAGAATCTCCTACTTTGTTCGACCTTTCCATCCCGCTGCTGTCTTCGATCCCCTTATCTGCCCTCAACGAGCGGCTATGGGTTCTTCGGACATCTTCCAGAGCTTTCATGTTTATTATGCTCCCTTTCTTTTTTGCTTTTTTATTTAGTGGAATGGGCCCCCTCCATTCTATTGTTCCCATTTTGTTGCAGGCCCATTGCCTCTCTACCAAGCCCTTTACAACATTTTGTTTGTGGCCCATTTTACCTTTTGTTTGTGCAGCTTGCTCAACCCGTAACTCATCCCTCGATGCTTGGATAGGGTCTGAGCTAGTTTGGTTGTTTGTACTAGCTTCTTTTTCCCTACCTTTCTCATCTAGTCCATCCTGAACTTCATTCACTGTTCCTTCGTCAATGCTGTCAGCTACTTCTTCTTCAGTTTCCCATTCTTTTAGCCGGCATTGGGGACTCCCTTCAGCTTTTTCAAATTGTCTCGCTTCAGCACCTCTTTCTTCTAATTCAAACTCTTCCTCGTTTGCTGAACTGACGGCGTGCCTTCTGTCATTTGTACTGTGGCCCACTGTATCATCAACGGCTTTTTCTTCTTCCCCGGCCCTCTCCCAGTTGGTTCCTCATTCATCGTCTTGCCATTCATCGTCATAATCACTGGCCTCCGACCAATATTCTTCATGCTCTGAATCACTTTTAAAGCTGGGTAAGAAATCATATCTCAGAGAAAATAGACTGTTAGTCATCTCTTCCTCAGTGAACTTGAGACAGTACACCTCCCCATTCACTGTAATTTGCCTTTTGACTGAGATGAGGTCCATTATCTGGGTTGATATGAGGAATCTTGCTATATCAAATCTCCTTTTCTGACTTGTACTATCATCCAGGCATATAAATTTGCCCCATGGAACTGCCATTGACTCAAAGAACGCAGGACCCCAAGCTTGCAAAGGGGTTCCTTGACATCTGATCCAAACGAACCGTTCTTTTGCCACCATAAGAGGTGACCAAGGTTTAACTTCAGAGAACCATTGCCCAAACCAATCTGCAGCTCCCTGCACTAAATCCTTTAGTTCTTCTTTGTCCTCGCAATCCATGAGAACCATCTTGCCTCCCATCGCCCTTAGCCGACATGAGAAATACCCTTCTATATAAAATTTCTCTTGGATGTTGGGTACCATCTCAACTGAATGGGCAATACCAACATAGCAGCCTTGTAGCCACTCATAATCTTCTTCCTTCACATTGTATTCCAATCCTCTCCATTCTGTCCCTCTGTTTTTTACTCTCCATATCTTTCTTTGCTCTATTTTACTGTTTTTGGGGATGCTTCCCTTTTTTCCATACACCGTCTCTGGCCTTATCTGCTTTAGTTGAGACCCTGTTTTGCCATATTTCATTTCCTCCTGGCCTTTAACAGCATCTGCATAGGATTTCCCTTCTACCACAATAGATGGATTTGAGTGTAGACTTTTCTTCTTGGCTACAATCTTCTCCTCAGTGTATTTGGCAATGTTAACCCATATTTTCCGCCCAGCAACCCAGATTTGGTCCAGTTTCTCTTCCAGATCCCTCACATTTCTTACCTCAATGTACTTGAGGAAACCAAACCTCCTTCCAGATTGACTTCTTCTTTGCGGACTATAGATTGATATCAACCTGCCATATCTATCGAAAGTTGTCCACATGTCATTGTAGTTCCAATCATTTGGGATATTTGAGAAGAAAAAGGTTGTAGCCTGTTTATACAATCCTTTGTTGTACCCCCAATCATGGTTGAACTTCTTACTTCTGCTAACTTTCCTGTACCCTGTATTCACTGACCTCCTTTGTCTGCTTCTCCCTTGTGATCCTGCATACTCTCTGCTCAGTGCTGCTCGTCCCGATCTTGCATGGAGCCTGTAGCTTGAATCCCTGTTTCTCTCTCTACCTCTCTCTCTCATGTTTTTTTTGCCAATAGCGCAGACTTTGAATTGTTCAACTCATTATTTTTGGACGATTTGTCAATGGACCATGAACATCGGTTTTTATCGGCAATATATATGGTTTTATCGCGCGATGAGACAGTAGAATGTTCACAGACACAACCCTACCCTCGGTTGTCCATATGATTTCTTGTCCATCAAAAACGTAAATTAAAAGTTAAAAAAAAAATCACTTCAAACCAATGAAGTGCCATGTGTACGTGCTAAAATTTCTTTTATAAATAACTTCATTTATTCAACGTTAATTAATAGCTTAGTTTTTAATTTGAAGTATTTAAATTTAATTTTTTTAAAATGTCATTTAATATGTCTATTTTTATTTTATTTTTATTTTAAAATGATAATTATAATATATATTAAATAAGAAGTTTTATTTAAGTAATTATATAAAATAAATATAAAATTTCATTAATAAATTATTATATATCTATTTTATTAGATAAAAAAATAAACTTATTAAAGTTGAACAGAGGGAGCAAACATGTAGGCTGTACATAAATTGTGCAATTTTCGAGCGTTAATTGTGGTGAAGAATATAAATAGGATAATGATATGAAGACAGCCTTTTTTATACAATTTTTTTATATAATTTTTATATATCATTAAATAAATAAATGTAACAATATCATGAATCCCAATTGAGTGAAAAAACCAATAATTAAATGACACATAGAAATCAGTTCACTTTTGATTTATAGAGTTTGCCATGCACAAATTGTGTTTTTAATAGACAGTGAAGTATATGCGTGCTCTTTAATTTTAATTAGGTAGTCACTTTTCTAATAATAGTTAAAAGAAGTACAATAGGTGTAGAACATAATGTGAAACAATATTTTTTTTCATTTATAATTGAAGGAAATAATGTGTTTGAAATATTTAAGGTTATCTATTGATAATTAAGTTTTTATTGTTTAACTTTAATAAATTTAATTTTTAATTGGTTAAATACCCTTTTTGGTCCCTCTACTATAGGAAA